AGTGGCTGTGTCTGCGTTGTGCTTTTACATTGGGTTTGTTATCAGGACTGCATTTCTGGGCTGCTTAAAAAAAGTCTTTGTTTTAATTGTTCATCCATCTGTGGACGCTGAAACTTCAGGCTCTCCCAAGGTAAATGTAGACAAGATATCTTTACCTCACCTGAGACTGTGTACTTAGTATTGTAGTAATCCTCATGTGTTCTGGACAGTATTATATTTCCACAACAGATTCATTGCTTTTAATGTGACGCAGACTTTCGCTGATCTTATATGACAGATGGCAGGAGAAATCTTCACCACTTTGGATCCCTATAATGTGGACTGCACCAACATCCATCCTCTGGTTTGTCACCTGTGTCATGAACAGTACCAGTCCCCATGTCTGCTGGACTGTTACCACATCTTCTGTGCCCGCTGCCTGCGAGGCCGAACCAGCGACAACCGCCTCAGCTGCCCCCTCTGTGGGTAAGAAATAGCACAGTGGTCTTCACCAGAAGATTACCTTTGCATTGTTTTATTGAAGGAAAACCTCAACTTGTGCACCTTATCCTTTAATTAAAGACAGTTTCTATTTCCAAGGAACCCTCAAAATTGTTAAAATCTCCATTTTAGACTCGTTTGTGCAGTGCAAAAATGCTAGAGTTTCTTCTTCCCAATGTGTTGGTGTCAATATCACAACTAAGGTGTTGAAATATGCAGGTCAAAGGTCACAGCTTGCAGCGTTACATAATGGAATGTGACAATGCTGCAGGCTAATGCTAAAACATGATTAGGCAAAAACCTGAAGGGTCTCACACACACACACACACACACTGGTTCAAGAAATGCAATACTTCCCACAAGCCCCAGCATTTGACGGAGATTCTGCGATTTCCCTCGGATTTGTTCCACATAAGTTGATTGGAGGATTTCTTCAGTTCACGCAACAGATTTGTGAAGAATCCCACAGGTTTTTACAACAATTCAGGTCAACACTGTGACACATTGTTGGCTTCATTTTGAAAGAGCAACAGCTGCAGGGTCATCCCAGTGTCTGATTTAGCCTTTGGCTTCAATAGTGAGCCCGGCCGGCAAAGTTCAGCTAAGACTTGTCACACAGCAGACAAAGCACACTGGCATTCACCATCAGTGCCAGCAGAGTGTGACCAAACACAGTCACGTGAGACCAAGTGACTCCAGGACCTAATAAGAAAAAACATGTTCTTTTATAGTCACCTTCTGATCCGCCTTCACTGGGAAACTACAAATGTACCTTTAGCGTATTTAATTATTTAGATATTAGGAGCCAAACAATAAAGCTGTTACGTTGTAGTTTATATCTGACCTCCCATCCAAAAAAACATTATATTAATTTTCTATTTGACTGAAGTATGTCAAAGTGTTTTAATTGAAATATTTGGGAAGAGAGGAACATTGGGCTGCATCTTGACATAACCCAGTGGGCAGAGAGCTGCTGCCTGGCCTGTGTTGCCTTGGCTCGTGCCGCACAGACCCACAGGCTGCTGGTTCTATTTCTATCATCCTGCTAACAGCTGCTGATTCAAGAAGCATGTAATCTAGGAATGCACTATAGTGCTATTAGTAGAACACAATAGACCCCCGTTGCTACGGAAACCTTATAAACAAACAAACAGCTGAGGCCCTCAGAGATCCAGGCAGCAGAGCAAGTGAATCACATTATAAGGAATAAACCATAAACCAAAATTAGAAAACTAACATCCATCCATTTTCAGCCGCTTATCCGTTACCGGGTCGCGGGTGCAGCAGTCGCCACCCAAATCACATTGCACCGTACCAACCCCCCTGAACCTTCCTGCAGGTACCAACCGCCCTAACCGGGATTTGAACTTGCCCAGGTGGTGAACCCAGGGGTTCCACACCAATGACAGAGACATTGCCTCTGGGCCAAAGTGCCACACAAAAAAATTTGAATTAATATGGTTTGTTATGAGTGTGTGAGTTTAATGAACTAGAAGGTAAAGTATGTTCATCTGGGAGAAATTTCATTACTTTAAAACAATGGTTCCTAAAGTTGCGGACGGGACCCTTTAGAGGCACAGACATCAAAGGGGGCACATCTGGTCAAATTATTTAAATGTTTTGTATTTTTTATATTAGTTTTGAGCAAAAAAACGTAAAAAATGGATTGAAAATAATATATCTGTTCTTTACTGCTCTGTTTATCATCATTTTATTATTATATATTAAATATTATATTCATCATTGACTTTTTAGATTAAATATTTACCCATTGATTCTCCACTACTTAACCATCTTCAAGAAGAAGCTGAATGCATGTCACCAAGAACTTTGAATTCCAAAATTGTAATTAAATTAAAAATGTAAATGTATTTTTAGTATGTATTTCATTGAAAAAAAAATCCTAATAAGCTGTTGTTTCAAACTACATACGGGTTTTTCTAAAGAACTTGAAGTTGTTTTTTTCTCACAGAGTGAATTTCTGGCTGTTCTTCAGACTAATTATGCAGATTTGAGCAGAAAATGAGAATTAAAATGGTAAACAGAAGCGTGGAGCCTCTCAGCTGCCTTTTCAGCATCTGCCAAATCAAAGAGCATGAGGTAAAATATTCAATTAAGGATTGTTTCATTGAGATGATATTCAGCATGCAGGTGTATAAACAGATTACTCTGTCACACAGTGTGTGGTCCACTGACAGTAAATACCTTTATTTAAAGATTACATTAGAGCGCCATCTGCTGGAATTAAAAATACATTTTACAACAGGTCCAATCATGACAACCTGTGACTTCCTGTCTACATTTCTGTAACTTAGAATGCCCCTTAAACCTTACACAGATTAAAACAATGATTCACTTTTTAAATTCAATTGTGTGAAAACAACAAAAATAAGGAGCCATGTTAATGTGTTCAGACATTATTAATCAAATGCCAACTCAGTTAAACTTTCCTCCTGATATCCCTCAACTTTCATATCATTTAGACCCAGCTCTTCATTCTGCTCAAATGTGCGGGTATACTTCTCCATAGTAATCTGAGGGTCGGGGTCCGGGACGTGCACATTCTGTAGGTAGCTGTTCCCCACGGGATCATCCAGGACGAGATGGACGGCCATTTCCCCTGCAATGATCTTGTCTAGCTTTTCGGCAAACTCTGTCATTTTCTTCATTTGTTCTTTGCTGTGGCTGTCGCCGCACATGAAGGGGTTTTTGGACACGGTCAGCTCTTTGATGTCTGTTAGCATACCCTCCACGGTAGTGAACTTCCCACCTACAGCCGCCATCCCCAGCTCAAACTCCAGCTCTGGGATAAGCACAGAGCAAGTCTCCGACTTGAGCAGGTCACGGGTCATGTCTGAAGAGCTGGTGATGTGAAGGGTGATCCTTGTGCCCAGTTCTTCAGTGCCACCGCCTGATTTCACCTCATTGGTCCGGTGGCCGCAGCTGTCACAGGACGTGGCCATGATGACGACCTCTTTGAAGTGAGGGATCTGGACCAGCTTCATATTGGTTGAAGTCGAAGCGTTGCACTCTGGGCAGTTGGTTTTGAAGACCATAACCTCACCCATCATTCCCTCCAGGTCGTCTGCCGCTCCCTCCTCTTGAACACTGTCATCGTCATCAGCTCTGATTCCCAGCATTTTATCCTGCTCTATGCTCCGTTTGAAGCGAGTCACTGTGAGAGCCTCATCTTTCTGAGGGGCCTGAGGGTTCTCAACAAAACTGTTGCCTGACGGATCCTCAATCACCAGTGTGAACTCCCTCTCAACGTCTTTCAACTTCTTTAGCTTCTGGATGAATTCCTCTATCTTCTCAGCCACCTCGGGGTCTGTGGCCCGTCTGACTGGCTGTTCCTGTTCCAGCCCTGCAACCGCTCTGTCTAAAAGACCCTCAATGGTGGAAAGAGAACCTTTCTGGGTGAAGGGAGGGATTTCAAACTCCAGCTCTGGTATCCTGGTGGTGGCACTGTCTGCTTTGACCACCTCGCGGTTCAGGTCTTGTTTGGATTTGATTTGGAGCGTGTAGCAGATGCCCTGGTCCTGAATACGGCCTGCGGACTGGATCTCGGTGTTGGCCCAGCTGCAGTGGTCGCAGCTGAAAGAGCTGACGATGATTTCTTTAAAGAACGGTATCTTGGTCAGGAGCAGACGAGTAGTCCCGTTCTTGTAGCAATTCATACACAGACTCTCGATCACCGTGGGCTGCCAGTCCTCGTCGTCAGCGCTGATGTCTTTAAACAAGCTTCCACCTCGTACATTCTCGTCGGGAATAAGAGACATTGTGTCCTCCGCGGGTTATGTCTCACTTCTGCATGAAACTTACTCGCACTCGCCGAGGCTTTTCACTCACACACGCCTGCTTCTAGAAAGTTCCAGATGACAGAGTGAGCAGCTTTTCCAGTTCGAACACGTTTGACAACGTCGTGTGGAGATACGACACACTTCCGCGTTTTCTCCTTCTGCGACAAAGAATGTGGACGTCGGGGATATCGCTGCTGCCACCTCGTGTCATTTGTGTGAACTGCAGAATATCTAAAAATACTGTACAGTATATCGTATATTAAATACTGGTTTAAGTCTATGTCTAAAAATTGCTTGTTTAACAGCGGTGTTACAAACGTTCTACAGTGTGAATGCTTAAAACCTGTAGGCTGAAAGTAGAGACAGAAGACAGGAAAAATTAAATTATTTAAATTCAGTATTTAGAGACATTCTGACATTTCTTTATCAAATAAAATGGTTTCCTATATTTTCGTTGTAGCTTTGTATGATTATTTAATGACTTCTGTATTATGTTTGGTATTATGAGTGGGACTCATTTGGTTTATCTGTCCATCTGTATAAAATGTACAAATCAATAAACAAATCACATTTATCAACAGTTTCTTTTATCTATCTTGCATATAACTGAGTGGGTTTTTTTACATTTGTATTTTCAAGTGGTGCACAGTTGTGGTACATTGATTGTATGTTTCATGCAAGCAGAATCAGTGTGTAAGGTAAATAAAGTTGTTGAAAAAACGTAATAATTTCAACAATAAATCTAATTGTGTGATGCGCTTAAAGAAAAGCGCTGCATTGACAGACACTATAGCAGCAGTAACAGCTGAACATTACTTGAGTGCAAGTTTTTATTCTCTCACACAATCTTTCAAACTCTTGTATCCTGTCACAGATATTTATCCACGGTGAAGGGAAACAACAGCCTTCCCCCAGAAGACCGGCTGCTCAAGTTCCTTGTTGACAATAATGCAGACACTGAGGAATCGGTCCCATGTGCCAACTGTGACCAAGAAAGTAACAAAAAGGTCAGTAGGTTAACGACAGACCTAACAACACGGCAACATACTTCAACTGTATGTCTTACTTTTTTGAAGGTTTCAGGTAATCAAACTGAAGCAGAAGTTTTCATTGTCAGCCATGTGTGGATGTTTTGAGTCACTTAATGAATGAATTTGGAAGCATACATTAAAATGTGCTTTTCAGCTAGAAGCAGGGGATACATACACACATACATACAAATATATGTATGTACAATATATATCTGCCTGAAATGTATTTTAGTTGGAACTGGAAAAAAAAAAATAAATATTAAACTGTTAATTATTTATTTACCATTTTTTGCACAGGATTCTGGGATGATGTTCTTCTGCAACACTTGCAGCCAACCCCTGTGTGCGACCTGCAAGGAGCTGACTCACAAAGCCAGGATGTTTTCTCACCATGAAATTGTTTCACTGGCCAAACGCACAAAGGCCCGGCACAGGAAGTGTCGTGAGTGTCCCCAGTAATTGAAGGGTTAACAAACTGACAAGCACTTTAATTCACACCACTGACTAAGACCGTCACTTAGAAGAGTTGTAATTTCACCTTTATCCTGCACGCTTTTGTCAACAAACTCAAATTGTAGCAGCCTTCTGGGCTAACCCAAGTGTCTCCACAGCTCTCCATGAAGAGCCCTACATACTGTTCTCCACAGAGAACACATCCATGCTCTGCATCAAGTGCTTCAGAGACATGCAGGTGTAAGTGACCAGTAGGACTGTTGTGTGTCTCTTCCATTCTTCTCCTCTCTCCTCCTCCTGTCATCAACTTTTATTTTGTCCTTTGTTTACCACAGGGAGAGCCGGACCCACTGCATTGACATTGAAACAGCTTATATGCAGGGCTGCGAGATGTTGGATCAGGCTGTTCTGGTGAGACAGATGTGTCAGTATTTAAAAACAATACACCATTTACAGTCTTAATCTGTAAAACTCACAGGAAACTACATACTTTCTTAACACTCATTTTGTTTTACAATTTAAGTTTAATTAAATGCATAAAAAACAACTATTTTGATTAATATGAACCATTAAAGTACATTACATTCAAAACAAAATAAATGTATACGGGTGATGTCAGCATCGTTGTAAAATATTGTTCAATGAATGAAAAATCATTAGTTATGTAAGTTATGTATTTTCAGTGATAATTCCTAAAGAGGCTGAAGTGAAACGCCTTACATAAGACAGCAGTGATGCAGTGCACTCTGACTGACAGTAGACTCCACTCTGCAGGTAGTGAAGGAGCTGCAGACTTCAGCCCGTGAGGCGATCCTTCTGCTCAGATCAATGATTGGAGAAGTTTGTCTAAACGTAGAGGAGGAAGAGAACGCAATCTGCAGTCTGTTCAACAGCTTGCAGGTAGTATAAGGATTCAAATGTAAACACAGTATGTTCAAAAGCACGAAAGTAAAAAGCCAGTTTTGCATTTTAGTTTGAGAAGCCATTAAATGTTCCCTAAAACTTCCAGTTATAAAGAAGATGAAGTCACAAGTTAATTTATAATTACATATAACAACTAAAAGGTAAATCACCTCAAGAATTATATCACTTCTTTACAAGACGTGATCAAAACAAAAAAGCTAATAAGTGAAAATATACTTCACGTCATGAGTTGTCAAAAAATGACGATTCATCATTCAATGTGGTATGAAATGCCAATTAATTTTATTTATTCGTTTTATTTAATCCTAATTTTCTGTATTAGAATTTATTTTTAGTCTTTAATCAATCCATCACGAAACCCCGCCCTCTTGTATGGCGCCAACAGAACAAACGTCCAAAATTACACTTGTCCCTAACTGACTGACTGCGATGGCAATATTTGGCCACAGGATGTCAGTAATTTCCTACTAGTTAAGGAGCACTGCTATTTCCTTTGCAAGGTGAACAATCAAGAGAGTTATCTTTCTGAAGTCTTAGAAATTCACGACCATCGAGATAGCGAGGCCATTCTGCAGCAAAGTATTTTTTAAATAAATATATAACACATTTTCCCCGTTTTTCATCTGACAGGAAAAACTTGCTGAGAGGAAAAAGATTCTGCTGAAAGTGGCACAGAGGTAAAAAAACAAACAATCAAACAAACAAAAACAAACATAATAGATGACTTACAGTCCTTTCACTGATACAGAGCTGGAGCCTCGATGTTTACTGAAGTGAAAACTATTTGTTTGCTGTCAGTGGGTCAATTCACATCTTTTTTTCTCAACATTCTGCATTGTACTCGACTTTTAAATCATCTCTCTCCTTCCCCAAACACATTTACAGTTACTGAGCATGAAGCTGAACTAAAGCCACTTGAGTAAGGCTGCACTTTTCATGCAACCATTGACCCCTGTGTTTGTGTCCAAACAATGAAAGCAGAGCCAACTGAAAAAATGTTGTAACAAATAGTTGACTATCACAAAAGAAAATAGCACTCTTTTGTCCTCCACGTCACAATAAAAAACATTTGCACCAAAGCCTTCAGACAAATGGTGAGATTGTATCTCCTACATCTCTTAAAGGTAATGTATTGAGGTTACAGCAGCAACTTTTCTATGATGCTGTCAACGGTTGTGCATCGTCATGACTGCAGAGATAGATGAAGAAATTGCATTTAAAAATGCTTTGTTAAAAACAGAAACAGACGGGGTTATACATTGAATATGTATAAGAAGACCATCAGCTTCTCTGTACTACAGCTCTTGTTATTGTAAAGCAAGGCGGTGCACCAAGAGTGGCTTATTTGCAAGAATTGGAAAAAACTAAACATTGGCTAAACTAAACAGTAGAGCATGAGAAAAAAAACCCAGTGGACAAACCAAAGGAACCAAGGCTGCGTCACATAATCCCTCAGTTAATTTGGATCTATTTCCAGGTCATCTTTTATCAAAAGTCGGCGGAAGTCCTTTTTCGTAAACTTACATTTTTTTAGGCTTTTCAAGCAGCAATGATCATATTAGATGTATATATTTTTACACAGAGAAACTCAAACAAAAATATAAAATACATATATATAATCTTAAATGTAATACACAGCATGATATATATTATATAATATTATATATATATATATATATGTATATATATATATATATATATAAGTGCTGAGCAGAAAATGCCCTTGTCTTTTGTTTTGTAGCATAAAACAGAGGGAACCTGAAGTTCAGATGAGACAAAACTGTTGTTATTCTATTCTACAGCCCTGCAACCAAACACATTTATCCCTTTGACTCACATTTAAGAAACCCATCTAAATATCTAATTTCCAACAACAAGACTCTCACACTGACCAGACAAGTTTAAAAATAACTGTTTACAGGTATTTCTTTTTCTTGTCATGTTTTCCATGTAAATACATGCCTGACTGAATGAGAGCAATCTTGTGCATGAGAGCGAGTGCAGTGGGGGTTTCACTGCGTGGGAATCTTTAATGACTTTTTCTCTCTATCGCTCTGCTCGGAAGCCGTCCAGAGACAGGTTCCTGGAAGGCTTTTAAAGTCTATTTATGTTTGGCTCTGTGTGTTTGTTGTGGAAGAGGACAAATAGATTAGCTGCAGGAGATATAGGCTGTTTCATTTGTGGTTATACCCACTGTGCTTAATTTTGTGTATATTGGCAGGCATGGCTGTAGCGGAGCGACATCACATGTTGATTTAACTTTGTCTTGTTTTGTGTTTTAGTCAGCATGAAGAGAAGGAGAGAGCTCTGAAGGAACAGCTCTCCCACCTCACTGCCCTGTTACCAACTCTGCAGGTAGAGGGAGATAATGAGCATACGACAAATGATACAATCCTGCAAGTAAAGTTGCAAACTAAAATGTGCTTTAAAACAAACATAAACATCCTACTGTAAATAGAGCTTTGTAGGCTCTGAACCAATAGGTCAGAAGCCACCAGTGTGTTTAGTTTGATACATTTATTAGACACATTTAATGACAGAAAGTTAGAATTAAATTAAGTGAAAACAACTGAAATACAAAACTACTAATAACGCCTCAGTCTCCATTCTTATTCCTTAACCTTTAACCTGTGATGTGTTCAGGTTCACATGGTCACCTGCTCAGCCTTCCTCAGCTCAGCTAACAAGTTTGAATTTTTGGACATGGGCTACGTGAGTAAAGCAAGAAAACCAAAATTGTGGAATCAGATCATGTTCAAACGTCAGTGATAAATATTCTTTATTTCTTCCGTCTCCTGAACCCAAGGCAGAAACTCTGTCCACAGGGACGATCCAGTAGATCACAGTTGTTGTTTTTACTTTGCAGCAACTCATGGAGCGACTGAAGAGGATTGTTAAACTCCCACATCGGCTGAAACCAGTTCAGAGCAGCAAGGTGAGTGGCAGCAGAAGAACAGGGAAACTTTGAGCCAATCCCAGCTCTTCATTCCACCACATGGTCACACAGAAACAGACAACCAGTCTGTCTCTGTGTGTTTTAGAAACGTTTGTCATCTTATCAGTGATTAATGTAATGCCATGTGACATCTGAGACCAATTTTGTGAAATGGAAATCAGAGTTTTGTGGAGCTCAATTAAGCTATGCTATGCTAACTTTTCAACTTTAATGGTTTTATCAATTTAGACCAGGTCCAATACATATGGCTGAAATGTAGCTCTAAATTGTGACGGAGCCGTCCTGATGCTTAAGATTTTTTTCTGAACTTGTTATGTTCCAGACCTTTGCCTACTTGTCTTCAGTCCTTGTGTAGATCTATTGTTCTGGAGGTAATTTACTCCTTTGGATTATCAACGAAGAACCAAATACTACATTGATTCTGTGTAGATTTTATTTATCTAACAAGGTTCATTTAGTCTACTGCTCTGATTTGTATCCACTGCATGTCCAATTCATGACATTTTTGACCTGAGTGTGTTTTTCTGTAGATCAACACTGACTACAGAAATGAGTTTGCCCGTTGTCTGGAGCCCTTACTGCTGCTGGGTCAGCGCTGCCTTCCCTCGGTCGCTGGTTCCACATGTGTTGCTACAAGGTGAGATAACACTCCTGCTGCCAGACACCAGGAATTCTAGTAACTAATTGATCCTTTCCTCTACAATGAGCATTCCCTTCCTGAATATCACGTTGAAAATGTAAAAATGGCTTTGGCAAAACACTTCACACATTGCGTAGCATCCAAACCTGAAATCCCTCCTGAATTGTTTGCAAGTACAAATGGTAGACAGAGATGACGGCAGCGGTAGGAAAGGAGGCGCCAGACTGAGTAACACTATGACAGGTATTCTGCATGTATCTGGGTGTGTGTGTGTGTGTGTGTGTTGGGCTGGTAAAGCTTTGTGCATTGAAATGGAAGTCACCTTGTTGCAGTAAGGCTGGAAAGTAGGCAGCTAATCCTGCGACACAGATCTGCCGTCCGGCCGTGCCGCCACGGCGGGGACAGAGATGCAGTAGTGAAGACTGTGAGGATGGACAGATGAGTACGGAAATGTTTCCTACTGGACATCTGATCTCACTGAAGTCTAGTCTGAAGTATAGCTGTTTAACCTTATAGGTAAAAAAAACTCCATGGTGTCACATCAGAAACACAGGGTTTACATTTTATTTTGTATAACTCACTAAACAAACACATGAACATACACAAACACTGAGTGTTTGTTCCACCAGCGCCGACACACCAACGACTCTCTTTTCTAACTTGTTTAGTGCCAGTGTGAGATTCAGAGTGGGCAGCGATTGGTGGTCTTCCAGCTGGCTGCCACTATTTTTATCATAATTTCACAGAACTCTCTGGGATTCATGTGGAGCTGTTGGGCCACTTTGTTCCAGGGCGTTGATGTCACTGCATTAGCACAGGGCCAAGGCTTTAACTGGCGTCACTGTGTGGGAGGGCAGAGGCTGGCTGTCAGAGGAAGACGTGCGTGTGTGTGAGCGAGTGTGTGTCAGACGGAAAGAGATACATGCTTTAGTTCAGGTCTCCTTGGTGAGAAGGCTGGAGTGAAAGGCTAACACAGGTATGTGCATGAAATATGGTCAATATTTGGCCTTTTCCATTTCTCATGGCATTCAAACCGTAGTGTTTTATTGACTAACTCTATATATTGAGTTGAGACAATGTGTATATATTGATACTAATCTAAAAAATAATTTCTGCAAGACACTTTGAAAAAGTTAAATAATAAGCAATATTTCCCCTGGGTCACAATCAGTGCAGTTAGAAAAACAGATTTTTTTTCTTTCCGTTTTTGACCATCCGTGGTATAAAAGTGTTTTGTTATAAATGTTGCCTGACCCGTGGTGGTCATTGCTGGTGGATTCCCATCTTTATGAGAACCCGAGAAAGATCTGGACTGTAGGCAGGACAGTCTGGAGAAAATACTGATTGAGGTTTTGCATTGTACTGTTGAGAAGTGACAGGAGAAGATGTCACGATGGGAGCAAACCACTGAGATCTTTATGGATTCCCTTCGTCATCACTGCTGATGCACCATGCAGCATTCCTCTACAGTTTCTGCCTTTGTGCATTTTCCATTAAATGCAGTCTGCAGGGCCTTTGTCAGCTTTGGCTCACAGAACCACACAGTCAGCCAAAAGATGGGGATCTAAAGGAGTACAGGCTGGATGCAGACCACGGGCCGCTGTTTGAGAGCCACTGCTCTAAAAGACACATCCTCATGTTAAAGTCTGAGCATCTTTTCTTTGCCCTGTTCCTCCCTCGGTTCAGAGGGAGGTCACAGACATTACACCTCGGAGTGTGGCAGTTCAGCCACTGATCACATGACACACCTGCATTAGTGTCTGCTACTCCATCTGGGATACAACCCAGGAAGACATGATTCCATAATTCGTTCTTGGTGTGGAAATGTCCAGTAATCTCAGCAGTGTTGCTGCTGAAAGTCTAAAGTCTAGTATTAATTGTGAACAAACTCTAGCAGAGGAGAAGGGGGGACATTCTGTAAGTTAATCTGGCATAAACCTTTGATTTATTCTGTACAATCATTAATTGTTGTTCAACCAGTAATTATCAACTCGTGGGCCGCAGGCTGAATATGGTCCATGACTGGGTTCCAAAACAAACATCATGTAATAATGTTGGCCAAAAGTGTGTTTTTTTATTTCAATTTTGAGTGTCCGTTCCCCAAGGTTTCTGTGCCGAATAATTCTGGCCCTTCGACAACTATAGCTGGAGACCCCTGACCCCTGACCCCGACCCCTGCCTTACACTATGAGTGTTCAGGTTATTTAAATTTTAAACTGGAGTTGAGTCATTTTCTGGAGAACACTGGACAATCAAGGATCTAGAAACAGGTTTTTCACCTTCATATCGCCATGTGGTTTTGGACCATGTAGTATTTGAAATAAACAAAAAATGACCATCCTCCTCCTCTCCTCAGGCTCCAGTCCCCTCTCTCTATGTCCTGTCGCTCCCCATCCCTGAGTGAGATGCCACTAGAATCCGTGTTAGGACGAAGACCGACGTCACACCGCAACATCTGCACGAAGGTGCTGCTGGCCGAAGGGAGGGAGACGCCTTTCACCGAACACTGTCGCAACTATGAGAACTGCTACAGGGTGTGTGTGCGCTGTGAGCTCCTTGATGATGTTGACTCTAGGTTCCACGGTGAACATGATCACAGGCCTGTGATGAACGTCTACGTGTATTCTGTGATTGTGCAGACCCTCCAGACTGACATTCAGAACCTGAAGGACCAGGTCCAGGAGCTGCACCGAGATCTGACCAAACACCACACCACCATCAACACGGATACTATGGGCGAGATCCTGGACAGGTCGCTGCACATTGACAGCCAGATAGCTTCGCAGTATTCCACAGTGGAAACTATGAGAGTCATGTTTGAAGAGGTGTGTCAGGTGCTACCTTGATGTGTTGACCTTCACTACATACCTGCCTCCGCCGGGCACTACCAGCTTCCACATTTAACCTCAGCCAGTAAGCCGAGCGTCATACTAACAAGCCGGGTTGTCACTCGTCGCTGTAAATTAAAGCCGCTACAGATGCCTCACAGGTCAACGGCTTCCACTTCCCATGATCTTATCCTTAATGGTTTTTGTCTTTTCTTCGCAGATCTGGGAGGACACTTTTCAGAGGGTCACAAATGAGCAGGAGATTTATGAAGGTTTGGGTCCAACACAGACCGCAAGATAAAGAAATACATTTGAAAATGATGATTTTGTTGCGTATTGCATTTAAAACATCACTGTTGCCTGAACGCAGCTCAGCTGCTTGACCTCATGCAGCTGAAACAGGAGAACTTCTACCTGACGACCATCGCCAGGCAGATCAGCCCCTACATCATGTCCATCGCTAAGGTCAAAGAGAGACTGGAACCCAGGTGTGTGGAGACATGAAATTAACCACCTTAAATAATGTGTGCAATTAATAAGATTAATTAATTATTTTAGGAATATCACACAGCACACACTGTATATGCTATAATGACAGCATCCATCCATTTATCGTTGTTCTAGAAAACACAGCTAATGCACACTTTGTCATTTGCACAACAGACATTTTTATGGCAGTTTTAACTAATAATTTCACTCAAAAACACCATATTGACTAATCCAGTTCTTACTGTACATGAGGTGATGTCAGCTGTCGCTGTGGTCATGCTGGATTTATCTGGATTTGTTACTTCCGTCTAAAGACATTCATCATATTTCAAAATGACGTTGTAGGTTTCAGGAGCCTACGGAGCAACAGGACGACCGCACGGAAATGATGTTGAAAATCTACGACGACAGTTCACTATCGAAGGAAAGCCAGCAAAGGTATATTTAACTAAATTTATCTGAGTATTGGGACCCCAAAACTCATGTGATCATCATAAAGATCACAGATTTGTAATTTGAAAAATAGCTAAATCAAATTATAATTCAAAGCATTTAGCATCAGGCGTGCATGATATATTACTGCAAGAAAGAAGAAGTTCCTTATAATCACTTAAAGTGACAGTGTTTGGTACAGTAGACATTTTGGTTTTTATATTTAGTTTATATTTAGTTGAATAAATAAGATGTCATAGCACTTCTGCTTGAATATAATGCACTTCATGTACATTGTTATTCTGTAAAAATCATGTGCGTAGTAATTTAGAACAGGACACAGTTACAGCAGCACATACATAAAACCTAAAACTGAGAATGCCAACAGAGAAAGTAGGTTTTCAAGTGAAACTTCTCTTTTTTTCTGACAGCAACAGGCAGACCAGTGTCACAGACCACGACCGAGACAAGAACAAGCGCCCACTGATCCCCCAATCAGAGGAGCTCTGCATCAAATCATCTGCTCATCCTGACAGACAGAGGGCGACCACGGAGACATCCAGCCTCAAGGAGATACCGTCATAAAACTTCGGTTGATCTCGTCTCCCTTTCCCTTTCCTTCTCCCTTTCCTAACTCCGTGCCTGGAAAGAAAAATCAACTTTAACAAACGCAGGACAGTGTGTGACTGTCTCAGACGTCCAGGTACCAGAGGTGACGGCGGCAGACGAGCTGTCTGCCTTAAGGTACAGGAAGTGTTGGTCAAACGATCACAGCTGTCAGAGTGGTGGAGAAGAAGAAGACTCCAATGAAGACATTTAACATCCTGGACTGGAGAGTCCCTTCTTATCTGGACCGTGTGTTTATGCTTTGATTCTGCTGGTTTTAGTCAGATGTTTTTTAATAGTCTTATAGTGTTCACCTGTCCTTTGTCTGTCATATATTTTTAAGAAGCCAGAGACGGATGATAAATGATTGAACTTCAGGAGCTGAAGTGATGACAGCCGCAGCAGAGCGGGCCGCTGATTGTCACTCTGGGTGTCAGCAGAGGTCACATATTGATTTGTGTGGTGAGCGTCGTCTCCTGCATCAGTCTGGTCCAACGTGTAAAGCTGTCTGTTTCCTCAGCGCTGTCTGCAGCGTGGTTTGTTTCTACAGCTACAGAGGTTGTTGTTTTTTTTAAAGAAAGTCTATACTGTGTGAACGTTTCAGGGTCTGTCAGACTCCAGTGTTTTAGACTGCACACTGATAACTGAGCAGACCAAGGGCAATGTGCAGCTCTACAGAAAAGATATTCCTCCCTGTTTGCCTCCCTCCATTATATCACTGTCCACAGACATTTACCCTCTAAGAAAAGCTGCAAACTTTTCTTCCTTCTGACCTCTTGTCTACATTTTTTTCTTGTCATTGTGGCATTTAAGCAAATCACATGTCAAAGTTGATGAGACACAACTGTCCTTAATCATTTTCTCTATGGTCTAATACATTGTTTCCCAAAGACTGGGTCGCGACCCTCAGGTGGGTCGCAAGAGATTTTATTTTGGGACGTCTTGCCTCCCAGGAGTTTACAAATAATGTCTATTGACTTGGGTTGCGAAGGTCCCCCCCCCCACTACCACCTCACTGCGCCCCCCCAGGGGGACCCGCCCCACTATTTGAGAAGTACTGGGTTAAAGACAGAGGACAAATTTCACTGTGTGCGGTGGTGTGCTGTGCCGTAATGACAATAAATCACCTTCACTTCACTTCTTTATGCTACAGTGCATCTTTGTTAAGTTTTAGCATCGTCCTGATTAATAGCAGTAATATCTGTCAGTGTTTTCACCAACATTTATTTTATATGTAGAATATGTTCCCTGAGGAAAGAGCGCTAAGGTGACAGGGGAATAAAAATTTTCCAGATTCATTTTGATTAAATCTAAGCTTTTTATGGAACCTCTATCAGTTAGAAGCACATTGTTTTCAGCTGTTTCAATTATTTTGGCACCATTATCCTGCATCTTTGCTAACTGTTAGCATCTTCTGGATTATTCAATGACACTAATATCATAAACTTTAAGTGTTTATTAGCATTACTTTTTTAAGCAGAGTAAAACGCTGTATGAATTTCTTACCAATTGATGTAAAAATTCATAAGAAAAGTAAGGTGATACTTGGTGTGTTACTGATAGTGTTTTGTAAATTAAATCAATAAATAAATGTTGAAAACAGTGGTTTGGATTCAAAAATGCAAAGCACTTGTCTGACAGTCGGTCAAACTCCGCAGATTTAAAATCAAACCGACAGACACGGCTGTAAACAGCTACAGCTCCTTTTTTTAAAAAAAACAAAACAACAAAAAACATCCATATCGTGGCATTAAAAAACATTAAGAACCAGTGAGCTTCCGACGTAGGAGCAATCCAAGGTGAAACCTCCTCTCCTGCTCCCAGCTCAGGGACAAAACCCGTCCCTATTCTCGGCACAGGTAAGGATAAAATAATGAGGCGCCAGACTGATGGCTTCAGCCGGCAGGAGGGGAAGGTTATTTACATTAGACCGCTGGAGCTCAAGCAACTCGTTTGCAGCCACTGCTTCATTGGAAATATTGGGGTCATGATGGCCTTAAGGAACAGTCCCGCTCTGCAGAGGAGTCAGAGGTGCACACTCATTAAAATACATGTGTGACAGCAGAGTAACAAATGGCTGTGCCTGTGCCTTGCTGCTGTACCCAGTCCCCGTGGTCATTCATCATCTGCACTCATCGAACCACGCCGCTCCATGTTCAGTGTTGATTATTCTCCCCCCCCCCCCCCCCCCTTTCTGCCTCCCCTGTATCTCCCCTCCTCTGCTGAGTTCCTTCACATACCACTGGAGGCTAAATAAAACTTTGCAACATATAGTACACCTTCTGGAGATGCACCTGAATACTTTATCTGGATCAGTTTTTTTATTCTCTGTTGTTCAAATTACTCCATTCAGTTTACACCAGCTGCCACAGCCACACAGATCTGACAGGTCCTTCACTGCAGCTTATGGACGGCAAAGAGTGGGAGTATTTTATATATATATGTTATTGTGATGAAAACTGATGCTTAATGAGATTTTTTGTGAAAGATTAAAAAGATAAAGTGAAATTGTGATTAATAATTATGGAAACAAATAGTCATAGTCATGTTTCTGCAAACTTCCTGTCTTGAAATTCCAAACTTATAGCTTAGTCCTGTAAGGTAATCAGAGGTTTGATGTTTTAAATCCTGCCCCCTGCAGGATAATGCTAAGTATCACAAGTACAACAAAAACTCCCAGGCTCTGAGGTCCATTACCAAGTAAAGCCCATTAATATGAACTGCTGTGGAGTTTAACAACGGAGCCTTTTAACAACGGGACTAACAGAAAACTGAAATAAACTCAGAATGTTTTTTAGTGTTTTTACTAAAATCTAAACTCTCACTGTTCTAATAAACTGGATGTGTTTATCCTGATACATAATGCTGTTGGACACTCAAATAAAATGAAATAAAAAACACATTTATGTCTAACTATTATTTGTTGTTTATTTCGGATGGTTTGGTGGGCCGGACCCGGCCCACGGCCTGCATGTTCATCATCCCAACATAAGATTCGTTTTAACATTCAACTGCCCCGTTCTTCCACTATAAATTAAAGGTAAACTCTGATTAGTTGCCTCTTTAATGATAATTGTCGATGGTTGGCTGCTCTGGTCTGAAGGTTATTGACCATCAACATTGATGCTGTTATCACTAATGTCAGATGCAGGATGCTGCCTGTGTGAAAAGGTCAAATAAGTTCTTCCCAGACTGCTTTTTAAATAGCCGTAAAAAAAAACTAATTTGAAGGTAGTTCATCAATAAGATGGTAAAGTCATAGTAAAATATTGGAGTACTTCATTCTGCTCCGTATTAACAGATATTGATAGAATTCCTGCTCTGGTGCATCTTAACCTAAACAGTCAATGAACATCAATATTTTTATATCACTCACTGCTGTGTAATTGACCTCGGTGTCATCGACGCGGGCTTTGATTTGACCCCATCACCGCTCAGAGTCAAAGGTTTATTTCTGTCTCCATGGTGTATAACTGGACACATGCAGAGGAAAACTTGCAGCATGATTTAGAAATCACACTGTTGAATTAAATCATAGTCAAATTGGGAAACTCAAAAAATATATATCTATATATCTAAATATACTCTCTCTCTATATATATATATACCTCTAAAACCTATTAACTCTATGAAGCTAAATATTGATTGATCACCTCCTTCACCTCCTTCACCTCCCTTACCCCCCCGCCCACTGCCTTCTACCTCTCTCTTCTTTATTTGAAATCCTTTTTAATTGCCACCTTTACATCAACTTAAGTATCTCAGCACAACAGAGCATTAGCTCTCAGACATAGAGTACTTTATATCAACACAGCACAACATTATTCACTACTGACATCAGACTGAAGTGTTCACTGGGAATATTCCCCTGTAATAATTCATCTGCTCTGCTGCAGGCTAATTTGGTTTTCATTACCAAAATATCTGGGCCTGTCACTGCGGGTGGTTGGAGAACCGGCTCGCTGCTGCAGTGAAGACACCCAAAGAGAATAAATGATGAAGCCACAGGCCTACAGGCAGGAAGGTGGGCGTGAACAGGACAGCAGGAAACTGAAGCAGGTAGCAATCAAGGCATGAGGGTAAGTAGCCGAAGATAGAAAATGAAGAGCAGAGGCTGAATCATACTGACATAAGCACCAGAAATATGGCAATTGCCGGGAAGGAGAGGACGGGTTTGAACACCAGAGATAAAATCACACCAGAGACAGGTGCAGGTCTGGGTGTGTGACAGTCAACGCTCCTGTAGCTCAGGGTTTTAGAGCCTAAACTTTACGCTCTAACGTGTCAGATAAAAATTATGATTCTTAAAGCTACCATGATTCAGTAGATTACAATCATTTTTAAAAAATAAAATGTGCTTCCATTTTAAATTGTATTATTTTTGGTTAGGGCTTTAGTAGTGTTAAGTATTTTCTTTCAGTTCTTTCTGTCCTCCAGGGGTCGCTACAGCAGATCATCTGCCTCCAGCTTTGCTGCCACCTCAGCTTTTATAGAAGAGAATACAAGAACCCATTCATTTATCTACAACCACTTACTTCTTCTCAAGGTCGCTGAGAAGCTGGACTTGTTCCCAGCCATCAACAGACGCCCCCTACAGAGACAAACCATAATTCACACCTAAAGTTAACTGAGAGTGAACAAGGAACCTCATCCTGGATGCCTTTGGACTGTGGAACAGAAACATTCAAACTCCATACAGAATTGTGGGGGTGAACAAGTGATATTTTTTGCTGTAAGGCAAGAACAAAGACCCCTTTCCCCCCACACGGCCATAGGCAGGAATTTGATTCATTCAACTTTTACCGACTAATTCGGTTCATTCTCCCAGGGTCCTGGAGCCACTCCAGCAGTTATCTGACAGGCTCGGGGCACACCCTCCGCAACCCTCGCATGGCCACACAGAGGGACAATGAAAGTACCCAGTCATACCACAGCTGTGGACATTCTGGAGCAGGGCTGACCAGACCGGATCAACAGCTTTCCAAGTCCAATGCTGAGAATGCTCTTACCAGAAATATCAAATTTGAACAGTCTGCAACAACATTGTCCTCAAAAACATTATACTCAACTTTACAGTATGCCTCTAAAACAGGGGTGGGCAAACCTTCAGGCTCAAATTAGGTTCAAATTTGGATGGGTGGACCAGTTCAGCATTGGGTGGATGTAGAAACTGAGCAAATAATATTTATATAATGTACAAGAATAAACCTAAACTTTCCAAGATAATTTGGCACATTTGACGTCTGCTGCCAACTAGTGGCATCAACAGAAACTACAGTCAATCGGTCTTTACCATACCTTGTACCAGTGTTTAGGGGCCAGCAGTATGTACCTGGCCCACAGGCTGTAGTTTGTCCAGGTCTGCTCTAAATACATGTATATCTACACAGTATCACTAGTACACTGATAAAAAAAGAAGTAAAATGACTACATTCATTGGCACAGTTACTGCGTGGTTAGTATTCAGTCATAGATACATATGTGAAACACGTATTTTGCTGCAGTGATATTTTTTTCTGTTCATGCGTTCTTGAGAGAGCCACTCTCTAGATCTGTCTTTGTGTAACCACAAGGATTTTCTGCTCTGCTGCTTACACACTTGAGGACAAGAGAGCACTGAAGCATTCTAACAACAAGGAAATCCATCAGAGACGCGGATCTTGACCTCAAGAGTATTTTCTCATTTGCAAAAGCAGCTGTGTTTAATTTTTATAAGCCTGGTTTTATAATTTTCGCATCTCGTTGTTGTTTTAGGTCAAGTACAACAGAAGCTGCTGTCGTCGAGTCTTTTATGCCATTTAAGGAAAATAGGTTGAGGCTGAAAGTGGAATCGCTTTGGGAAAGTGCACAGGAGTGTGCAAAAAAGGGAGCAGGGATGAGAAAAGTAGGAAGACGAATGTCTCATCAAACTGTATAAAGGAGCATGGACACAAAGAGATCATTGAGAGGAGCAGGCTGAGAGTAAACTGAGGTTTGGGACAGGCAGGGAGAAAAATAAAATACCTGAGAGAAAAGTGAGAGGAGAATTGAGTCACAAGGATAGTTCCAGTTTTACAAGAATAAAAAAAAATCTAATTTACACTAAACATCAACATACATATTACAGTCCAAAGCCTGTAATTTGACATATGATCCTAATTTGGGTAACAATTAAGAAAAATAATTATTAAAAAATAAAAAAACATCATTTCACACCATTGGTCACAGAAAAACATTCAGTTGGAAAGTTTATTTTCTGAGCAATTCTCAGATTGATTTATTCTATTCAGGTTTTTGCCAGTGAACAATCCTACAATAACATTACAAATGCTCTGCAACATGAACCAGTTAGTTATACACCAAGATGCATGCTCACGTCAATAAAAGAGAGAACTACTGAAAGAGGTCAGTGATTTACAGGACTATTTATTTCACCTTTATTCCCATTCAGGCATAGGGTAATACGAGTCATCTTAAAACAGGAACATCAAGCTTGTTACACTTTCAAAAGAGAACTAATGAGTTAAAAAAAAAAGTCACAATGACTCAGAGAGGCCTGCAGACCTGACACAGCGTCCAGTTCCACAAACACTACCTCACTGTTGTAATGTATCCATTTAAACTCTCAGTACAAACTTTAAAGAATGTTCAGAGGAGCAGGGTTTGCCAAACGTTTTCTCACCCACGGCAACATTTGACATTAGAAATAACTCTCAGAACATGGCCAAATAAAAATGTCACAAAAAATGTATAAGATGAAATATAATGATCTTTTAGATTCAAACTACTGGCTCAGTGTGAAACCTGGGCCTGTTTAGTTGAACACAGCCATGATATAGTCAAAGGAATTGAAGAAAGCTCTCAGCCTCTGTTTCTAGTTTTTGAAGCAGTCATGGACAAAAGGGCCAACATCGCAGGTATGTTGTGGAAAATGGGCACAGGTCTGAAATAGTTCTCTTTATTTGCTTAAATAAATAATAGTTAGTGTGAGAGATCAAGGATGTGCAACATTTATCAGTGTTTCAATGGCAGTTTCAACTTTTAACTGAGAGAAAATTCACAAAAATACAATGCACATGTTTTACAGTGGAACTGTACTTTAGTAGGTCAACATCAGAACATAGTACTTCAGTTTGTGTTAAAGTACGCCTTTGGTTTTTAGTTTGCCATCTCTAAAGCACAGAAACACCTTAATTGGTCGACCACTTACAAACACTGGTGTTTATAAAGGTCTTAGCAAATGCAGTGCAACTTTTTATGCATTTGCATAGGTCAACAGTACGATAATTACTTTCTAAGGCACTTGGGATATTTGATCTGTCTAGTGAAGAAAGTCGTGCTTCGTCATTAATCTGATAGTCACAGAGTGGCCAAGCAGTAAAGAATGTAAACAGCCAGAAAATGTAAACATCTCGAAACATGAACCTCTCATAAGAAACAGAATAGTAACAGTCAGACTTTTGCAGTCAGTACCATGTAACATGTGGGTGTGTTCCTGTGTATTTGTTCAGTAATAATAAAATGTCAGGAAAAAAAGAACTAAAATAAAAAATAAAATTGATTGTTTATTTCACATTATCTTGTAAAACCCAAACAGAACGTATGGGTTTAATGTATTGTTTCCAGTGTTGTAATCTGCAGCAAACAGACCGACTGCACTGAACAAATGGAGTGTTGGGGGATTGATTTTCTAAAACAATTACTCTGCAATGCACTGCACTGCTACATTAAAACAGCCACGAGGGGGGAAACAGTGTGCGGTCATCACAGTTGTTTTCTCAGTATGTGCGGACTCCTGGTTTACTGTCTACGGCCTGGTTAAAAGGATTCGCTGGGCTGGACGATTCTTCCTGCTGGTCTATAGACTCGTAAGCTTCTCTGTTCCTGGTTAGGAAGGGGAAACCTGCAGAAGGTAGACAAGGTACAGCAGAAACCTTCAATGTACCATAGACAGAACAGACCATTTGAGTTGTTTTCATAAGAGCAGGATTACATACACCAAGGGTTCTTAACCTATAGGCCCAATCTTTATAGTTCTAAGAGGCCTGGGCACGATAAATATTATAAAATATTATATTCGATGAATTTGAAATTGTACCTAAGAAAAAAATATAGTCTTTGGTGGGGTCCACACGACATTCATCTTCGTTTTTCCGTTTTAAAAACATTCTGTACTTTTTGCTACAGCTAGTGTAGAGAAGAAGACAGTCGCCTTCTCTTTATATTGGAGCTTTTTAAAGGACTGACTGATGCATTACCGCCACCATGTGGTCGAAATGGATAACATATCTCTGGTGTCTTCAGTTGATAACCTATGCAGTCCGTGGCCCACAGTTAAAAAACTGAACGTTTTGTTTGCGGCCCACGAAGTGGAGTTGGCAGCCCAAGTTTGGAAGATTGTAGACATCAATATGAGCAAGAACAAATCCCAGATATCAGCTTGATGAACCTGGTTGTTAGGTGTTAAAAAGAAGTCTGTAGAAAACCATGTCTTTTCTTCCGAGCACATTCAGAAGCAAGTTGCATTTATGGTCATTTATGTGTCATCTGAAAATGAAGTGATTTTAAAATGTGCTCCATTATGCAGCTCAGGATGCAGCAGCTCTAATAAGGAGTCCAGAGAGTTAAATATGAATAAAACATCAATGCAAACAGGCAGTGAAACATACAGTTAAATGGTAGAAGAGCCATGAATACAAATATCCTGTACGGACCAAGCAGGTCAGAGGGTGGAGATGAGGAGTTAGAGGGTTGAAAAAAAAAAATCAAGAGACTGAAAATATTCACATTGTAACATCATACCAGAACAAAAGTGTATTTTGGGGGGGAGAGGTTGCCCCAGCAGTTTGACTTGAAGGCTTACTTCTGGTGTGGGGGGGCGGAGGAGGATGATTTGAGAACAGAAATGGTAAAAAGGTGAAGGCAGGAATCAGTAGCGCCGGCCAATAAAGGCACTGTCAGCACTATCCGTGGTGCAGCGACTGTCCACAGAGGTCTCTAAGTCTGAGAGGTGAGCAGCAGAGAGAGGTGGGAGGGATGGAGGGAAAGGAGGAAGACGAGATGAAGGAGATGAGGGAGAGGAGAGCAGAGGAGATGACAGGAAAGGAAAACACATTGGACAACATGAGGGATCACACATAACATGACAGTACAGTGTCACACGCAGCAAGGCAGAAGGTCAGAGGTTAGAAATAATGACATGCAGGGGAAATAGAAAGAAGAGTGAATTTTGAGTCCAGATTACTCAGAGGTCAAAGGTTAATGTGTGCTGATGGAAAATCTATTAACAAAGGACAGTTACAGAGACTTTATCGTCTGTAATTACATTTGTTTTACTGTCTCTGTACAGTACATGCATTATCTCACACCCACACACACACACACGCACACACACAGGAATGCACCCAAGTCAATCAGGTTCAGGGTAGTTTAGTTAGTGGGAAAGCTGGACAATAAAACCGATGTCAAATATTTTAGTATGAAATCCTGACCAAAAGGAAGGAATTTGAAACGTCACATTGTTACTCTGATCCACGGTGAACATGCTCGACCTGCTGACCTCCTGTACATCTCACAGGGCACAGAACAGCAGGGACATCATGTTCACTCCAGAAAATTCAATCAGACAGCAACTTAGAAACACACTCAGCATGAAGCTAAGATCAGCTACAACCATTAGCCAATCACAGACAAGTGGATTTCTCCTGCTGTGAGAAAATCACACTAAAGTAAAACCTTGAGAGGGAAATTTCTGCTAGCATTCATACTTATATCAGTAAATGTGTTCCGTCAGTAGTGGGGCACATTACGAGTTAAATTAAAATGAAATCCACTGCAAAACAAAGTGCTGCTACTTTTCATCTGAGGCTGGAAGATTTGTTAAAACAAGGGTTTCAAAGTTCAAATGAAAACCCGGTTCTATTACAAATGTGTCTGTAGTAGTTACAGACCACTCCAGCAGAGGGTGCTCTAAGCTGACATTAAAGGTTTTAACTGTCTTCATTAGTTAAAGGAAAATAATGGAAGGAGATTTTTTTTAATAACAAAAGATGTAAATCAGTATTTGTATATGTTGTGTTCAGGAAACTGTAGTAAACAGAGAAAACCTACTCACGCATGGGGAGAACATGCAAACTTTTTGTATGGAACAAAAAGTTTAAATTATCATTGGGGATCAAACCATTGACCTTCATGTTATAAGGCAAGAAAATTAACCACCAGCACGCACCATCTTCAGAACATTATATACTGTAGTTCATACATCAATACATCTGTATTTATAATAATAATAATAATAAAAACAGTGTTTGAATTCAATCAGTTTGATTGTTGAAACACGTTTGTGTTTGTGTTTCCCTTGCTTTTTAATCACAAAAAACGCTGGCTAATTCTAAATGACGAAAACTGAGTAAAGTCAAATGATCCGATAAAATTAGGGTCAGTTTAAGACGTAATGTTAATCTTTAACATAATAAACTGTGATTCACTTGTATCTAACACAGCAGCAGACACAGAACTACAGAAGTTAACAGTGTCAATGAGAAAAGGCTGCAAATCAATATCCTGCCAATACAAATGAACCCCTTATCATTGGTTTTTCCAGGACTATGACCTGTCGTCACAGATAACTTTTTTTAAACCTAAATGCCGCAAGTGTGACATGAATGAAAAATCCACAAACGTCTCATGGAGAACTGATGTTCTCAAGTCTTGTGACTGTAACTAATTAGTTTGACTGAAGAATCATCTGCCAGTAATTTAGCACAGAGGCTGTTTTTCTTTATAGTTTGTGTTCAAAACAAGGGAAACTGTGTTTTCTATTGACTTCAAACAGCTACGTCGCCCAAACGCCACATCAGTCTTTCCTGTCTTGTCACCTGGACTTCACATTCACGTTGTAGACATCACTCACCAAGGTTGAGGTTATACTCTCCGCCTCGCTCACGGTACATCTGGTAAACAAAGAAGCAGGACACGGGCTTGAGCAGCAGGCTGAGGATGGCCATTCCTGTACTGAAGCGGAATGAGTCCCATCGTGCCCCCGGCACCAGGTCGAAAGAAGGGTAATAAATCCCAAAATGGATGATGTCGGTCAATATGGTAATGGTCATCCCAATCAGGAACTACAGAGAAATGACAGAGGAGATGATGATTTCAACACCATCAAATTTAAATATGACTTTGAAAATAAGTGGAAACATGTACATGTGTGGAGTATTGTGTTTACTGTACAGGCTGTACTGTATTTTAACAGTTATACATATTAAGTTGTTGGTGAAGAGTTATTTAAAATGTAAAAAAAAAACAGAATTCCCAAGAAACTAAATCTCCTTAAGTCGTTGAAATTAAGAAGTTGCCTTTTATTTGGTGTGACCTGTTATATAAGTCAACTGTTTTGTTAAAGCAGCTCTCGATTCCCATTGAGAACATAACGGCCAATGTACTTGCTTTATTGTCCATTTTCCTCCAAATGAGACTCTCTCTCTCTCACCTCTTTGGATTTTGAACTTCGTGGTAAATATTCGTGTAACCAACTACGTGTAATGTTTACAATTTCTTTTTTTTTTCAAGCTGTAAAAATTCTATTGGATTTGAGCTACAAATGTGACTAATGTAAAGTCTAGTGTTGTGTATATCTTGTAAACTTCCAAGACTTGTTGGCATCAATCTTAAAGTAGTAAGAAGGGTTACTTTTGTATGAGACAAATAAAGCTTTTTCAACAGAGATTTGTTATTTTATTGTTAAAGGCACAATTGTTGAAAGCAAACCTACATTAAAATCAAAGAGAAGGTGCTGCCATCTTTATTTAAGCCAGCCAATTAAAATGTACAAAGAAGAAATAGCAACATCTAGTGGTGCCATTACATGTTAATGAAGAATATGGCCTCACAGAATATCATCTTTATAGAAATACATACATACAAACATACGTGTGTGTGTGTGTGTGTGTGAGTGTGTCATCCTATAAAATGAAGATTCACACTTCATGCCAACTCAATATGTCATCCAATAAAGTGTCATCAAACGTCATAGTTTTACTTCCCTCCCAGTGAGCAGTGAAATGTCAATACTTCTACCTACGACTTCCACCTTTAAAAGAAAGGCCATCGTCACAGACTGACAAATAGGTTAGCACAGTTACACAGTGCACTGACTGTAGTTGGACTGCTGCATATGTCACATGACGGTGAAGATTACAGCTCGTGTGAAGAAGAAAAGACTCACCATGAGAACAGCATCTACAGAGTCCCTCTGAGCGATGGCCCACACCCCGACTGCTAGAACGCTGAAGTTACCCCAGGGAAAGGAGCTGGGCAGCCATGGCACCATACATCCCCTGATGGAGGACAGGACATGGTGAGCACACAGGCGTTAAGTATGTGTATGTGTGTGTGTATCAAGAGGAGAGAAATTCCCCAGCTAAGTGGAAAAAGAATGGCACTCACCACACTGTCAGCAGCCAGTGCACCAGTACTATGGCCTACAACAGAGGACAAGAGACATGTCTGAATTCATTAATAACACGTTCAATATGTTTACTGTCCTCACCTGCTTGTTATAATCCTCAATAAGTCAAATTACAAGTGGACAGAAAAAAAAAATCAAATCTGTGTCATTAAAAACAGGCCCAAAATACCCAGAGTGCATTAGGATTCTTCTCTACGTGTTTTTCCTTTTGGAGAATCATGACATGATAAAAATATTTGAGAATAAAGGTTTTAAATAGTCCACCTCGATGACTAATTTCATGGCCTTATTTGCTGCTTCTTTGTTTCTCTGTGTTGTCACAGCCTTTGAAAAGATTTGCATTTCATGCTGCTCTTAGAACAATCCAGCCTTTAAACAGGGAACAAGCCCTAATTTCATTTAAAAGCTGTCCTTTGGCCTGACGTAAACAGAGGTTCACTTCATTATTCACTTCCACTGCTGCTTCTAACGCACGGTGACTGTGAAACTATAGATATATAGAGAATGGTTACAGTACTAAATAAACAGAATACATTTGTTGAAATAAAAAGCTGCGACAAATGTTTTTTAAAAAAAAACTTATAACTGTAGTAAAACAATCGTCCAGTTTATATCCTTGTTGTCCAAACTTCTTAGGAGGGACTTCACTTTGGCAGCCAACCAGAGTTCTGAGGCCCAGCTATGGTCCAGTTAACTTTAATCAAGTCACATGTGGACACGATTCAATTAAACATGTTTTTTTAGGACACAAGAATCAGCTCTGTTCGTTAAGTTTGAATCGTTAATTCATCTGAATGCAGGTTCTTCTGATTTGAACATTTAGTACAGTGTAAAAAACACAGTAAAAAAGAAACAGTTTAAAAGTGAGGAGAACCGTAGGTCGAGTCGAACATTTCTGAAGGCAATTCTGTCAGAAACATCAGTAATCAGACCTTACAGTCAGAGTGAATTAGAGCTGGGTCTCCATCAGAGGTTTGACTTTACTAGAGCAGAGTGGACTGGAGCCAATCCCAGCAGTCACCAGGTGTGGGCGCTGTACAAACCTGGACATTCTGCCAGTCTAGCAACCATTCACACCTACATTTACACCTACAGTCAGTTTAGATCAACTAACAAACCTAATTCTGCAGGTGTTTGGACTGTGGGGTCAACCAACCAATCAGAATCAGTTAAAAACCAGTGACCTTTCCTGTCGTAAGGCCAAGGAAACCAACCATGCTCGCCCAGTGTGGTTTAAATTTGAATCTTTTTAATAAACTCGGGTACAAACTTTGCCATATGACAGATTTTTATTTGTACATAGTATATTTTAAAAACTATCCTTATCCATAAAACTACAACTAAATTTCATATTTACTGTCTTTTGTAACAAGAGGAGCGTTAGAACTCAAACTCAGTTTAGTCACTCAAACAAATCGACTCTGACTGTAGTTTCTCACTTGTTTTTACCTCCTGTTCTTAACAACACACACGGCTTTAAAGGTAAACCAGAAAAGCCCAGTTTAAACCCACCGTCCTCCTCTGTGTGGAGTTGACTCACTGATAAACTGTTGCCACACAGACTTACCGGGAAGTGTCATTTCTTACATCACTGCGTGATTTAACCGTTTTTTAAAAAGCTAATTTGGGGCGAATTAAAGTCGGCTATTGAAAAAACACTAACAACAACGACAGTAGACGGAGCAGAGCGCAGCCTCACCTTCAGGTTGATGGCAGGGACTTCCATTCTCGGCTGTTTGTTTACAGCAGCTCAGCTCTGACGATCCTCGTCACTGCACCGACTTGTTGAGGGGCTTCCTCAAACTTCAGCAGCTAACTCCTCCTCCTCCTCACCCCCCTTTTCTTCCCCAGAAAGCCATCTCCTCACCCTCTTTGCATGCTCCTGGTGTCGCTGTGGACAGAAACAGAAAAGTTTGGAAATTAAATAGAAAACAAAACACAGCAGGTCACCGTGTTTTACTGCTCACTATAAGAGTGACACTGAGAGAGAAGAAAATAAATGAAATTACAGTGGTTATTTTAAAGGAACAATGCGGTAAATTTAGGAGAAGTAAAAAAAAATAGCCTGACTTCCTTTGAGTATGAACCAAGCTCATAATCGTCACTGGCTGAAATACAGCCCCAAACCATGACGTCCTCCCTCCAGCTTCTATCAAATATTATTTAAACATCATTTTTAATCAGTTAAATAGCTTTATTACAATGCTAATTTTAATTTCTCATTGTAGGATGAATTGTAGACATTTGCTGAAATTAATCATTAATTAAAATGTGGGTAAATATAAAATATATTAATAATAAAAACTACAGAACATTTTGGGGTTTTTTTATTTTGTGATTTCCAATGAACTCAAGTGAATTAGTAAATAACAACTAAATTATGATTGTTTCTTTAACGTAAAATTTTAAGTTAATTTTAAGCTGCTTAAAAATGTTGTAATCAGTTTCAACAGTTTCTTCAGTTCATTTTACTCATTGTGGATTACAGTGCAGGATGTGGCTGAGTGCAATCTGTCACTCTCCTGGTTGGGGGCCATTTTGTCAGAGGTGAACATTAAAATCTCATCACCGCTGCTTTTAATGTGTGTGTTTAAATCAGGAGGCTGCGGTGATGTCCTGACCCCACAGCGTCCTAAGAGACAGAGACGGGCATCGGTGACAGATTTACGCTGAGCAGTACTCGCTCTAATGCGCTGAAAGCCTGGCGTTAAGAGATCCCGACACAGTCGGAGCATTTTGACAGATATAATGGCCCGAACGTTCATTTCATCACAGACACAGTGAGAGAGATGGATGTGGTTCATTACCCGCTGGCATTAAAGTGTTTGGAAACACTTTGTTGTGAACAAATTAGGTTTCAGACAATGACATTAATATGTCCTGATGTCAGGGCCTGTTGATACACATCAAAGAGGATTTTTATCTTCCTCCAAACACAAACTGTTTTATGGGAATAAAGAATCTTTATGTTCGCATTTCTTCACAGTCGAGTGGCACTCTCACTGTGGGAGAAAATAAATGAAAGTGATTATAATCCTTAGTGTTAGTTAGTTAGTGTCAGGGGTGATTTATGACAGAAGAGTGGGAAAGTTTATAGGACAGTAGTGTGTACCGTGGAAAAAGATCCAATGATTATTTTCTTGGTTTGAAAACTACTATTCTCAAACTTGTGTATGTCTTTATTTAATTCCTGCAAGTATATCAGCAGTGTTTTCGACTAAACAGGCTCAGGTTCTGAGGTCAAAGGTCGGCGACCTATATATTTCGCCCAAATGTCTCTTACTGTGTACATTTCAATGTTAACACTCCAGGTGAAGTCAGGCAGTGCAAACTTGACGTCACAAAATACTCACATTCGTGTTTAATAATGAAAAAGAATCATAAACAGAAGAACACAATACAATTTTATATATTTGACTTATAAATAAAGGATGTTTAAAGACAAGAAAAAAACCAAGACTATTTTCTTCATCAATCTACAGTTAGTAATCTGGGAGAATGAAGGTTGTGAGAAAGTAAATAAAACACATCCATACTGTATTTACACGACAGTTAGAAAAAAGAAAAACATTTACAGCTATTATTTTGTTTGTTGTTTGTGTAAAAGCAGGTTCAGAAATAGAAACTAAATCTGCACCGGAGCAGATTTGTCCATAGAAAAGGGAGGAGAAATGTGTGTCTTCGACTAAGCTTCTGATTATCCTTGGAAAAAAATACTTGAACATGAATTCAGTGAATAAGAACAGAAGAAAATAAAATCATTTTATTTAACTGTGTACGTACAATTCTTCAGAATTGGTCAAATTTTTCATCTGAAAGATAAGCTGAGCAGAAACCAACATAAAAGTGTAGAAGCTCTCCAGTTTATTCAGCCTTTTTTTATTCATGAAAACAAAGAAATAAAAGGATCAGGAGGATTTTATAGAGGGAAAAAAGCATAAAATCCAAGAATTTAACACAAACTCTTTCAGGCTTTTACAGCATTGTCAAAGGAAAAGAAAGATCACATTTTCATACTCGGTCCGTCCGCTGTGATATGTGACTCTCAGCTCTTCTCAGAGGGGTGGTGATTTCATTCCTCTCTTCTTCTTCATCAGATGGTGATGAAGCCCCCCTGGTCTACGTTGACCGACTCTGGCACCACACACCGACCCTTTCTCCTGGTCACACGTCGCTTACGATGGAACTTGGCATAACAACGAAATCCTGGAACAGAGACAATACATTAAAAAAAATGGTTGCAAAAAGTAAAATGCTTAAAACTGTTGCACCCTGTGATGCTGCAGTATAAAAAAAAACCTTCACCTTCTTCACACATGCAGTCGTCGTAGCATTTGTTGTTCAGGCCCCGGTTGTGAGGTTTACACTCGTGTTGTCTCAGGTCACAACAAGAACCTACATAAAATTTAACAAACCTGTTTTTTCAACAAGTCAGTCAATAAAACAATGACAATATTTGTGCAAAGATCGTGATGCTAAATAAACAGGGAGAAATTTGCATCTGTTTGACGTAAGCAGGGTTATAATTCTCCAGTCAAAGTGGAGGAGATACCAAGCCTGGATTTCTCATAATACCAGTTTTATATGATTCTCACATTTAGATGATGTCGATATATAAAGGTTCCTTTTCTGCCTTGCAACAGCTATGCGCCCCCAACATTGAGAACCACTTGTTTAAACAGCTTTGTTATTTAGAAAAAAAGTCAAAAGTTTGACAAGAATAGGTCAAATGCTTTTTACAGGGAGGATAAATGTTGCTGCCTGTGGTCTAACGTTAGAGGACTGTAGTCTGAGGATTGGCAGTTCGAATCCCGACCTAAGAGAGATATCCACAGAGTAATTTCCCTCTTGGGTATAAACTGAGCACTAAAAATATCAAAAAATAATAATAAAAAACACCAAACATAAACCCTAAAGTTACAGCCTGATTTTCTGTTGAAAACATATTTGCAGAGTGTTTTGGTAGAGACCTGGCAGACAGTCCAGATGGTGGTCACATGGTTCAGTGGCCTCGCCGTTCGTGGTCGTGTTTCCATTGCTGAGGTTCTTGCTCCGCCTTTTGGCTGCACCAGGGGGCAGATATAAACACAACAGTGAGGTTTCTAATGGGAATCCCATTATAGTGATTGATCATTGTTTTGATTTTGGTGAAGCCAGTGGTTAATCTTCACATGTCACCATGAAGTTGTTGCCATGTTATGGGTTCATGTTGCCTTGATATTGATATTAAGGTTTCTCAGACGACCAGGTGAGGAAGACAGGATCTAACCATCATAATGTGAAGGTGAAACTACAACTGGTCTGAATGTAAGAATGTTATGAATTAGCTGTGAATCAAGGACCTTTCCTCCCGGAGGACGACCAAGTGTCCACAGGTTTCATGTCCTCGTAGTCCGTCCAGTCAAACAGTGCCATGTCCAGAGTCGGCATCACATCCTGTGCCAATTCTGGCCCAGACTTCTGAAAATGAAAGCACAATTCAGAGGTTTTTATTTTATTTAATTGATTTTTTTTTCATGCCTGAGAAATCACAGAAATCCTACATGACGTGTAGAAAAACCTGAAGGTGAAAACTCGATGCTCACTGTGGGATTGGTTTTGCCTGTTTTGCAGATGCATGCATTCATGTTGTTCCTAATGAAAGACATTAGATTTGTGCTTTGGCATACAACAACGGCACCAACAACAACAGCAACGGCAGCAGCAGCAGCAGCAGCAACAGCAGCAGCAGCAGCAGCAGTAACAGCAGCAGCAGCAGCAGCAGTAACAGCAGCAGCAGCAGCAGCAACAGCAGCAGCAGCAGCAGCAACAGCAGCAGCAGCAGCAGCCGCAGCAGCAGCAGCAGCAGCAACAGCAGCAGCAGCAGCAGCCGCAGCAGCAGCAGCAGCAGCAACAGCAGCAGCAGCAGCAGCAGTAACAGCAGCAGCAGCAGCAGCCGCAGCAGCAGCAGCAGCAGCAGTAACAGCAGCAGCAGCAGCAGCCGCAGCAGCAGCAGCAGCAGCAACAGCAGCGTTGTTTTATTGATCCATAAAATAAGCCATAAAATAAGTCAACAGAGATACGTGGCTGCACAGCTTTAAAACACAATCGATAGGAAACAGAATAGGTTTATCCACAGCCAGAAATACAATTTCACTGTATGTCACTGCTGTGGTGTTGTTTATACAGAATGTACGAAACAGTTTATTTCACAGTCACTGTGACTGGATTCACCACGAGACTCTAACAAATTGTCAATCATTTTACACACTGCACCTTTTAGGAACGAACCGTAATAACAGACAGATTTGCCTACTGCTTTTATTATATCTGAATGTAATTTAATCAATTGTTTAAAGCTCTAAAACTCTCATACAGTGTCGTGAGTGGTCAGAGAGGTTGGTAGTTGCTCTTCCATCTAGAATTCTGCTTTAGAAACACTAACGTCGGTGAGTTTGGAGGCCAAAATCAGAGTCAAACCATTAACGGCGTAATTGAGACTTCCCAGAAATATTTCATCCATAAATAATCTGCTCTCCACGTAAACAGATCCATACTTATTTCCTGTGACCCACAGGAAAATGATCCAGTGAGGAAATATCAGGTAGATTAATTACAGCCGCGCTGCCCACCTACAGCCACTCTGCTGCTCATTAAACGATCAGAACAGAAGATCGAAGACTAATTAAGAACCAGAGCCGCCCCCCGTCACCCCCACCCCTGCTGTAACTCAGCCTGCCTTCACTGGCTGTTTCCAGTCTCTCTCTGATACGGTGGGACTGCTGTCACTAATTAAGCAGACCCGACTGACATTTAGAGGAAAAAAAATAAGAACAGACTCAAGAAGCAACAACAGAAGAATGTAAATATCACTGATGTAACTTGAGTTCAGAGTAGTATGTAGTATTATTATGATTAATTAACTGCCAATCCTAAATATTAAAAAAAACGTTTTTCTGTATGTTTGCTGAAACAGAAGGACAACAACGATTAAACCTAGTATTAAAGTCAGTATTAAATTATTAAATACATGCATGCATACAGTGATCCTTTAACACAGGAAAATAACAACAAGGACATATAAGGGACAGCAATACTTAAAGTATAAAGTACACCAACACATGCTGAGGGGGAATAACGTCCACCATGATGTACAGTTTTCCTGCTACTGACAAGAAATGTTGTTTGAGGTTTGGTAATTCACCCATAGGTGGCACTCTTGCTTATTTAGATCAGAACACATGAACCTACACAGCCAAGTAAGATTTAGTGTGTCTTTATATAGAGCCAGCTTGCTACGTTTTATTCCATGAATGTAGTATTTTTGGGAAACAAATGTACTTTTACTGTGGTACTTTATTCACCACATATTTACAGTTCAATTGCCTCCCTTCTTTGATGGAGACTGTATGTGAACAATCCTTCTGCTCTCACAGCACACCTGCTCCCCTGGATTTATCTCTAACACTCAGATCTCTGTCTGCTGTTTGACGTCTGGGAAAAAAGAAGTCAAAGAAATGTTGTCCCCTTCATCTGTAATGTTTCCAAGACGTGTGAACAAAAACCCGAGACTTTGATGTGCTCACAGTTGAACAGAGAAAACTCACTCTCCGCCGTCACATACATTTGGCTCCGACTAGCTTTTTTAATAAAGGGGAAGGAAAGCAGTTAGAGGAAATGTTGCTGCTGCTCTGAGACGAGTGTGCGTTTCATCCCAGAGGTGAAGTTCTGTAATGAGGAGCGCCTTCATATCTATCAACCACTCCGTGACCCAGACGTCCAGCAGCAGCAGCACACTCAGGTTATG